GTGGGTATATCAACTAAGAACGGATGGTAGCCGGCCGTGCGTCTGGATGTCCGATGGAAGAAAGGAGACGGTGGTATGAGCTCATGCAGCTCATGCACTCTCCGAAGTACAATCTGTAGAAGACCGATAGGCAAGCAACCTTGCGGCGGTGAGCCAGGCTGTGAAGTTTGGTCGCCACCAGTTTTTTATCGCCTATTAATCTCTTGGCTCTGCGTTCCACCGAATCCATTGCAGCAAGTTGGTATTTAGCCGAGCCATCCCAAAGGTGACAGCAGTACTCCATGCAAGATCGGACTTGAGCTTTATAAAGAGTTAGTTACTTTGTAACGTTAAAAGACCTGATATTTAAACGTTGACTACGAAACCCTATTTGTGAGCGTGTCCGACACGCTCTTGGCCGCTTTTTTTTGTATGGGAATAAAAAACTTTTTGTTTTAAAACCTATCGTGCTTGGTATCAAATGAAAGGTCTTGCTAACCCGATTCTAAAAATATATTACATACTAGCTGGTGCCCGCGAACTTCGTCTCGCCAAGGGATGCTTGTGTGCCAACAGTCCAGAGCTAATAAAAGTTATCATAACTTATCTATCATCGATGTTGATCAAGACATTTGTGTGCAACTATTCTAAACATCAAAATACATCGCTAAGTTTTGAGGTGATAGATGCATGCACGATCTACGGCAGATGAAACGGACGTTACGTTCGTTTGAGCCTCCCATCGGTTCACACTACAGGTAGAATGACTTCTTTGCACCGCCTCACATAAGGTGGGGTGGGGTCTGCTCTCCAAATTTTTCTGCGCCATGGTCTTCTGTTTGGGGTTCTCGAGTAGGTATACGCAACCGGATTACCAATATAATTAGTACAACTCCATTTTAAAATACCGAAATAAAATAAACAGAAAGTACCTAATTACTTACTACACTAACAAAAAAGTAATGCTTAATTAATTTACTTTAAATAAGAAAAAGTAGCTTAAGTACCTACTTACTAACACTACGAAATATGAATCACAAAAGATGGTACTACACAGGTAGGTAGTCGTGACAATAATACTCACTAATTTAGCTCTACATTATTTTAATCAATAAATAAAACTTACTGCGTTTGTATTTACATTATTAAAGCACTAAGTAATTAAGTGGCTTATCATCACTATCCGTAATTGAGAATTTCAACACTGCAACCACTTCTCATTATATTTGGAGTTTGACCTCTACTCTCATGGGAGTCTCTACTCCACATGGGACAGTTTGAGATCCATCTCAAGAATGCCACTGCTTCTCCTGCTCCTGAGAATAAAGGTCCTCTTGTTCCATGGGGTCACTGAAACCAAGGATGAAAGGTTAACTGAGATTATTGCAAAAGGAATAGGTGACAAAATGCAGCTGTCCGAAATTACCAGTTCCGATCTGCAAGCCTGCCACAGGCTAGGTTCCTCTACATCGAAGACGCGTCCAGTACTCGTTAGGTTCTACATACTCTTTGAGCTTAAGTTATTATTATTTATTTATTATGATGCCTATATACAATAGCATCACCCCCATTCTACCTGTTGGTGACGTAAAAAGCAACTAAAGAACGGGCAGCAGCAAATTCGTGCTTCGTATTTGCATATAATCGAAAATAGAACCCAATGGAGAGCTCAAACGGTTCACATTGTACCAATAGTATTATCCTTTACTGGTATTATTCCTAAAACTCTACATAACAGCCAAAAAATCTTAAAAATCTATCCTTACCTTTATCACACTTCACAAAAAGCCACAATGCTCAATACGTGTCGCATTGCCAGGAAGTTCTTGACTACCTCCGTGACTACTGAGTCTTACAATGGCCTCTCCTTACTTGGCTAAGGCCCATGAGACAGGGAAGAATTCCTCTGAAAAAGAGAGATAATCTTAAGATAGGTACACATAAAAATAATAAATTATTGTGTCGTGTGATGCCTGTATAGAATAGCATCACCCCCATTCTACCTGTTAGTGTCGTAAAAAGCAACTAAAGAACGGGCAGCAACGTTCCTTGTAATGCAACATCTTGAACTGCGCTGCAAGCGAAGTGTGGTGGTTCATGTCCAGCGGCGGACTGTTGTGGCTGATAGGGTTATGGCAAATAATCATAAACTGTGTGATGCTTATTAGTGGTATCATCCCAAATTCTATTCAGATTGTCGTAAAATCGGATAATTTCATCCAGGGAGTGGGGAGCAGCGTGCATGTAAAATATTGCACAGCTCTCGCCAATCCACATGCGCCTTATTCTAATAAATGAGTGTAATTTACTTACATTCAGGATTTATTGTTGCATAACAAAGTATTTTAATACGATATTTTAATCAAATAAAGACATGTAAAGAATACTATACTCTCACTGAAGACATGTAAATAAAACTGGTGTTTGGCAATGAACGTCAAAACTGATGTCTTTTCAATTTGTCAAAATCAATCAAAAACAATAAAAAATATAGAGGTTTTGAAAAGAGGTTTCTCCTTTTTGCCAGCCACAGAACAATATTTTAATCGTATTTCACGTAGGAATAAGCGTTTTTCCCGCGGTAAAAAGTATCCTAGGTGTTGACCAGGGCTAGTAGCTACACACCACAAAGAGTCTAATGTACACACGTACTATATTTTCGAAGATTATCGCGAACAAATGATTTGGGGTAAAATACAGGGTGTAAGGGACAGCCCTCCGAAAACTGATAGGGCGTATGCAGGACATCGCACTTATATGGAAAACACTTTCAAATATTTCCGGAAAGTTTCAGTAATCTAAGAAAATGGACTTTTCCTATTATCCACTACGCAATGTATTCGTTACGCTACGCAGCGTATGCGTCGGTTACGCTCGAGGTCAACGCTCGAACCCTCTTTCCGCCACCCGCCGCGCCCGCCGCCGCCCGCCACCGCCCGAGCAGCGCTAGCGCTAGCACACACACACGCGAGCACACACACACGCGCGCGCGCTTTTTTTTCACTTCATTCACTGAGAGAGAGAGTGAGTGAAAAACAGCGAATTAAAACCTCAAACGAAACGAATGAACACAATGAACAAAAGTTCTCCTACAGTAAGGCCGTCTTAATAAGTCCGATTTGACAGCTGACAGTTTCATACTAAAAGAGAAGTCATCAAAGGAAAATGGACCCTCTGCTATGCATTTGCGTAAATGTGTCATCTTTCAAATCGGACTTATTAAGATGACCTTACTGTAATCACTAATCAGGTACAACCAAGGTACAACAAAAATCCGTGAATAAAAATGAAAGCTTTTTTAAAAAAATACTAAGCATGCTTGGTTTAGGTACTAACCTTAAAATCTTTCTGGTCTGATTAAGAACGGCTCGAAGTTCCCTCCCCCGAGGCGATTGCACACATGATTTCTCCTCAAAATCTCGCCGTGAAGTCTCGGCATCAATGTCCCATCTTCATGTATTTGATTTCTAAGCTGCTGGAATGCGTGCCTGATCCTATCGCGCATTTCTTCTGCACTATTACACGTACCCACAAACACTTTTTCTTTAATGTAACCCCACAAAAAAAAGTCTAGGGGCGTGAGGTCCGGCGAACGAGCAGGCCACGGGTGGGGTCCAAATCTGCCTAGCCACCGGTTGCCGAAAGTTTCACTCAAATGAGCCCGCACTGGGCCTGTGACGTGAGGAGGCGCGCCGTCATGTTGGAACCACATCGTAGGTACCCGTATTAGTGGTAAATCGTCATCTTCTAACGCGGCATCCTGTTCCATATCCAGTTCTTGACGGAGGGGTTGGAGCTCCGTTTCTAGATCTTGTTGCAGGAACTGCAGGTACCGTGGCCCATTCATACGCTCGGGCAAAAAATGTGGTCCCAGGATGTGGTTATTGTAAATACCTGCCCACACATTCACAGCCCAACGTGTCTGATGGCCAGTTTCTTGAGTTTCGTGGGGGTTGGTATGAGACCAGATATGTTCGTTCCTGCGGTTCCACATACCATTTCTGGTGAATGTTGACTCGTCCGTCCATATTACGTGAGACACAAAGTTTGGGTTCCTCCGTTGCTCCGCTATCATCCAACGACAATAAGCTACACGACGCCCACGATCACTTGGTAGCAACGCGTGGACCTTGTGTATTACATAAGGCCTTTGACGGTCTCTTCTTAAAGTTTTATGCACAGCCCAATGGGATATGCGTGGCCCATGATTCCGCCGCAGTATTCGAGCAGCAGTGCGAACACCCAGGCGCGGGTTTCGGTTTATTAGGTCTAGAACCCTCTCCTCACTTTCTGCACGCAGTGGCCTTCCGGCACCTTCCTGGTGGGGAACTATGGGTGCATTATCGATCAGTCTTTGATATGCGTTCGTTATTATACGAGGGTCTGATGGGTGACGCCGGTCAGGATATGTTTCAATGTACTCTCTCAGCGCCGCACTAGCGTTTCCGTACGCCCTACCATAACACATAAGCATGTCACCATAATCACGAGAACTAAACGGTAGTTCGTTACGACGAGCCATTTTTAATCAAAAACAATCCGAAAACAACACATTCGCTAATGAAAATCTGATTCGCGGCGCGGCGGCACAATCAAAGAAACTTGGCGGCACAATCAAAGGAACTCGCCGCCAAACTTGCGAACAAGCATAAATAAAATGTTGCCAAATACTCGAATTATTTGCCCAATTTTCTTAAAATTGCATGTTCAATTATTGTCAACAAGACAAATACTTACTAGATTATTAGATAATTATTATTCTTAGTTTTAAGGTGTAATAAGTATCTAAACTCAATGTGCTTCTAGAAGGTAGGTAACGTAATGAACGATACGTACCTACCTACGGGTTTACATTCACATTTACATTCTTTCGCACGAGCTTGCTGGAGAGCATAAGAGCAATGAAGAACCAGATTGAGGGATTCTTAGTACCCGCGCCACGAGCTGTGGGTTATGAGAGAACTGTATGACAAGGTCACTACCTTGTCCCACCCACTGGTGTGTTGAAATCCGATGGATGAGGCTCAGTGGTTAATACGACTGCCTGCGATGCAGAAGGTTCCGGGTTCAATTCCCGGTGGGTCATTCACAAAGTTGATAATTATCACTTTGTGAATTTGTTCCCAGTCTGGTTATGACATTGCAGGTTGAACCACCTGATTGTCCGAAAAGCAAGATGGTTACATGCTTTGGGTGAGCACGTGGAGCCGTCGGTCCCGTTTGCTGCCTGTCATTACAATACCATGTCAGAAGCCATGTACCATGCAGTAGACGGTTAAATAACTCTGACACCAGGGCTCATCGGATCGTCGGACGTCCTGGTCCCTGATGTCCCATTCGCAGGAGAAGAAGTACCCGCGCCACAAGCTTTGGGTTAAGAGAGCACTGTATGACAAGATAGTTGGTGTGTGAGTACCCGCGCCACAAGCTGTGAGTCATGAGAGAACTGTATGACAAGGTACTGAAAGGAACCTGCCCTCTGGAGGTCCTTATAAGTTTAGTAAAACAGTTAGACTGTTTACTTAGAATTGAAGATGGCCAATATTAAGTGTGATCGTCTATTGGGTTAGGAATACATTGCGTTAAAGTAGTGACTTGTTAGTTCTTACGAAGTGGAGCAGTGTTTTGCTTGAGATGTATAGAGAGGAAACATTTAAGTTTAAATACAAAAAAAAACTACAAGAATACGGGGCTCCCATCCATCCTACACACCCGTCCGAAAGGGGCCAAGACGCACTCATACGACTTTCCTAAACGACCGAAGAATTTTGAATTACACGACGCTCTGCATATTGAAGAAGAAAGCCAAAAGATCAAATACTCCTAATATTATAGAAACTAACGAAGTTAATTGCGCTCCACTAGGAAGCAAGTTAAAGGGGTCTAGGTTGGGGAACCAGGTCGGAGAGACCTGGTCCATGGCAACCCCGGAGATAGTCCCCGTGGCCAACCAACCCGGATTCCTACCTATCTAAGCCTACCTAACTAGCTCAAAGTCAAAAGACTGAGCATCCGCGTACCCTAAGGCCGAAAAGTATTTTGGGGACAATCTTTTACAAGAAACCCAGAAGGTGAACTGTAGAATAATGGGTGGGTGGCCAAACCCTTCGTGTTGTGTGTCTTTGTTGAGGTATGGAAGCTTTCCCTCTAAGGCACCAGGGCCGGGAAAGCTACGCACCTCAACGCGGGGTAGTCTGGACTAGACCATGTATAGTAAATTATGCTTGCAATACCAACCCAGGAACTTAGAAGTAGATCTTGTAATACTAGGTGTTGTGGCAACTAGCATTACCTCACACCCCAGTCCGAGAACAGGTATAGAGTGTAGCGCTTACTCTACAGTTCAAATCAACCTCTGTACGCGCGGTGGCACTTCACAGCATACATACACAGGTTAATAAAATTTAATATTTAAATTAAATTAGAAAATTCGACTGTCCCCCTTTTAAAATTTGTTAAAATAATTTTTATTATAATTTGGAAGATTAATCCGATTTAAGATATATTAGTGTTATAAAAAAGGTTGTAACGATTGGAATAATTAAATCTTTAATTTACAAAGGCATTCCTAGCTGAAGAGTAAGAAGATCTTGGCATTGAAGTAAGTATGTTGTGACTGTCCTTCATCCATATCCATTCACAGAAAACGTTCATATATCAGCATCCATGAGTCTCCTAGATAAAAGATATAAGGTTGAAAACGTTCACTCCTTTCCTTTCTTTCCGATTTTATCAAAATATTCCCAGTTCCAATTTAGAAAAGGAAATCTCAACGTTGGATTATTATCTAATCTAAATATAAATAAAATTGAAATCATAATTCAAAAATAAATTAAAAGAATTTATACTTACATTTTCCTCTTTTAATTCACTCCTATAAAACACGAGTATATTGTTGCACTCACTTTCAAAGAATGATATAATTGCTTGATGTCAAAAGGCCGAGTTGACGCAAATTTTCAAATTTGAAATAAAAGAATTGTAAATAAAACTAGACATCTGAATGTCAAAGTGTCAAAGATAATTTATTAAAGAAAGAATAAAAGTGTCAAAATTTGAAATATTTCAAAATATTTTAACTTAAGTGTCAAACTTGTGATCTCTTGAAATATTCTATGTTAAGTGTCAAACTTGAAGACCCTTGAAATATTCTATGTTAAGTGTTAAACTTGAGAACCCTTGAAATATTCTATGTTAAGTGTCAAACTTGAAAACCCTTGAAATATTCTATGTTAAGTGTCAAACTAGAAAACCCTTGAAAAATTCTATGTTAAATGTCAAACTTGAAAACCCTTGAAAATTCTATGTTAAGTGTCAAACTTGAAAACCCTTGAAAAATTCTATGTTAAGTGTCAAACTTGAAAACCCTTGAAATATTCTATGTTAAGTGTCAAACTTGAAAACCCTTGGAACCTTAGCTAAATAACTAGGTTGTAATATCACACAAAAGGGAAACCACTCAAAAGTAAAATCTAAGTAGAACACTTTAGTTTCTCAATCTTAAATAACACAACACTACACTTGCACGATATCTCCAGCTCAACGTTAGGTTCGGGAACCGTTGCTCCTGCGGAATATGACACGAAAACCAAAGGGTTCACAGGACGTTACACGTACGATAATAAATTAACACAACGTTACACTAGTTGTATGTCACTCGCACAATAATGAATTCACAAAACATTACACACGCAAAATATCACTCGCACAATAATAATTTCGCAAAACGTTAGACACACGGGATGTCACTCGTGCAATAATAAATCGCAAAATGATGTACACGCGGATTGTCACTCGCACAATAATAATTTCTCAAAACGTTAAACACGCGGGATGTCACTCGCGCAATAATAAATCGCAAAATGTTAGACACGCGGGATGTCACTCGCGCAATAATAAATCGCAAAATGTTAGACACACGGGATGTCACTCGCGCAATAATAAATCGCAAAATGTTAGACACACGGGATGTCACTCGCGCAATAATAAATCGCAAAATGTTAGACACACGGGATGTCACTCGCGCAATAATAAATCGCAAAATGTTAGACACACGGGATGTCACTCGCGCAATAATAAATCGCAAAACGATAAATTCGCGTAACACATAACTTTACGATCACTTTGCCTAAGCATTAATTTTGGAATTTCCTTCACGCTTATTTGATACAAATGGTAAGTAAACACTTACGTCTGCAGGTTTGGATCTCAAACCTGGCATTCCCAAAGTAGTTGCCCCATCATAATCCAGTTCTATATACAGGACGATTTTTCATTGTTACAAGACATTTTTTTTTACTTCTTCCTTTACTCTGAAAAATACGAACAATATTAGTATTTCTTATATAATATAGATAAAAACATAATTCTAGAAAGTTACAATAAACAATTTTTTGTCAAATTCACGTATTCCAATTTCATACCACCCTTTGTTCGATCTCCGCCCTACAAATCCAAATGAGATTGGTCACTTTATAGGAGCACCCTAGCAGCGATCTGCAATAGAAGATATTACTCCATTCTATCTTTCCTAGATATAAAAAAAATACTTATCTTTAAAATAGAATTTCACAATGCTCCCAGGCAGGTGGAGCACCTCCAGTTTAGCAGTTTTCACCATTTTTTTTTGACTTTGTTGAGCACTGAAAACACGTTTTTTTTCTGTAGCTCCATTTTGCTCCTTCCTTCAACACATCCAAAATTTGACTCCATCTTTCCTGTTCTAAAACTGTCAGAAAAACGTTCAAACCAAAAACGTCACACACATTTCAATTTTCTATGCCGCCTACAACATTTGTCGCCTTATACTTTGACATGAAGTCTTCATAAAGAAGTTCCTTACTCCAACACGGAATATAAAACCAAAATTAGGGTTCGATCGGTCAAATGGGTCAAATATTTAATGTTTTAGCAAGATAAACATTTTCAATTTTTATGTCGAACGACGTGGTTCTCTACAGTACTAACACACCCATTATCTTCACCTGCAGTTCTCCTATGCATAATGCACAACTCGTGGTGTGGGTACTAAGACCCCCACTTCCTTCACCAGTAGTTCTCGCATACATAACTCACAGCTCGTGGCGCGGTTACTAACGCACCCACAATTTATCCTGCAGTACTTCTTAGCAAAGCAAAAAGATGTAGGAAATACTAATACAACACTAAAATTGGGAATATTTTTGATGTATGGCAACTTTGAGTGATGATTAGAAAAGAGAGAGATAGGGAATGAAACAAAAAATCGATGAAATTGTGCAAACCTTTTTAAGGGATGGCAACATTCCTGACTTCTCTTTCTTTTTATGAATGATTAGAGAGGGAGAAAACGATGATGCACGAAAATTGGGCAAACTCTTGATGGGTGGCAACACTTCCGGCCTCTCTTTCTTTTTATGAATGGATAGGAAAGAGATAGAATAATTTGTTGGGCATTGCTCACGCGGCGAGACGCACACAACCTTGAAGCGACTACGAGTTCGTTCAAAGAATGAAATAAAGAAGCGTCACAGGATGTAGTGTGATGAAAGAATGATAATTTACTTCACATTACTAGTGTTTTCAACTGCAGTTTTTCTGCAACAGCCTCTGGTACGGCTCTGACATGTAGCAACTGAGACCGACGGCTGAGCGTGCTTTCCAAAGCATGGAATTTGGAATTCGGTCTTAACCCGACTTTGGGTATTTACCAGGGTTTATCGGGTCGTTGGACAAATAAAAAGGGACATGAAGCCGGGTGATGCCGGCAGGGTCGTGTGGTGCCGGCAGAGTAGAATAGCACCATCCCCTCTCTTCCCGTGGGGGTCGTAAGAGGCGACTGAGGGATAAATCCGACCCAAACAGCCAGGGCCAACCGTATGGTGGCGGTTAATCCACCACAAAAGCATTCCCAAGGAGGGTTGACGTCTGGTAGGCAGCCGGTCGTAAAATTAAGCCAAATCTTTTGCAACATGATTTTGTGTTCAACGAAACGTGTTGCGCCGACCCCAAGCAATTGGGATAAGGGCAGGAAGATGATGATGAAGCCGGGTGATGTAACATAAAAGGACAGAAAATAAAAACGATTACTCAGCCATAGTAACACT